ACGAACTAAATGGTCTAGTTGGAAACCCCTGGGGTTCAGGTATACCTGTACCAATTTTGAACTAATGACCAGATGGAAGGCAATTAGCACCAAGTCTCGCCGATACAGAACTTTAGTGCGGCTCTTAGACCCGAATAGCAGGATTAACTGGTCACTTTTATAATGTACTTACAACCGACATAGCGGTATCACGTCTCAAATCCCAGACCTGTTGATCATCAGACCTACAAGTGACCATTTAAGCCTTTCCAAGCTGCTAATATTGTGTAACATAGCTTTCACGTAACCTATGAAAGTTGTTTGACTGAAATTTAGACTGTTTCCGCTTTCTTTCACAACATATCTTTTATTGAACCACTATGTTCTGAAACATGTAATAGTCCTTTAGTGAACCACTATGTTGTGAAACACGAGATAATCCTCTATTGAACCACATGTTCTGAATGAGTTTACAAAACTCAATATAATACTTTTATTTTTAGTGATTCCTCTCATGCGGGCCCTCTAGTGTTTCAGCGATAGGTTTTAGGGCTTATGACACTGAAAATCTGGTTCTAATACTCGAAGTGGGCAGAGCATAGATAACCCATTATGTGGCTTTGAGCTTAACAACAAGCGAACAAGAAAAACCTCTCAGGCGTAGAGTAGCAAATAATTTGTTTAGATACCGGCATAGTATGAATGACAGGAGGATTGATTCAAATTTAATTTAGGCTTGAGAAGATGAGTGAGGTGTGTGGTTCGATTCCTGTTAGTTGTCATTTTAAAAAGTACAAGTGAAGAGTGGGCGACTTTACATAATAACAAGTCCTTTATCATTCTTAAGCCTAAACTGAGTTTGAACCAGTCTTTCTATCCATTAACGTTAAAAAGTCGAGTGAAATGAATGATTGAATGTAACTTAACTCAGGTATAAAAATATTAATTGATTTCACTAAAATCCATCTAAATTAAAAAATCCCACCCTGACTTAATGGCGAGTGAATTAATGTTTAATTGAGTATTTAGCAATATAGTTGATTCCAAAACTTCTTAATAAAATTATATGGTGGTTTCTGGTAAAAACAAAGCATGGTTTTACTCATTTGTAATACCAATGAAGTTTATATATGGTTATCAAAAATGATAATATGTAGGGTTATGTTTGTTTTGAATTTCACGCAACGTTTCACGAGGGCTATCTGCGCTAGCCGTCCCTAATTTAGCAGCGTAAGTGTAAGTGTAGAGGGAAGGCAGCTAGTCATCACCACCCACCGCCAACTCTTGGGCTACTCTTTTACCAACGAATAGTAGGATTGACCGTCATATTATAACGCTCCCACAGCTGAAAGGGCGAGCATGTTTGGTGTGACGGAGATTCGAACCTGCGACCCTCATATTGCGAGTCGAGCGCCCTAACCACTTACTTGGCCATGCCGGGCCAAATATGTAGGGAATAAATCACGTGTTTAGCAACTCACAGTAGAATGATTCTAGTGTATGAAATTGTTGTTCTGATGCATATTAATCTGCATCCGAGTGACAACATGTTCACTCATATACACAGTTGTGTTTTTAAGGTTGGATGCATCGACCACCAGACTGGCTGTAGTAAGAAAATCACTCATGAAACAGCCAGTTCGAATCATTTTATTTATTTTCAAGATATATCATAAAAGAAACATCTAGTACTAAAAGAAGAAAGTTGAACTTTTATAATAAAACTATTACATGTTTCA